GGTGGCTGATCAAACCTCACTTCAGAGGTGCCCTTGGGTGTGTCCAAGACGTGCAGAGTCTGTCGGTGAATTCCAAGCCTGCATGACCCACTGAGCCCCAGGTGGAGCACGCTGGAGCACGAGCGATGGGGTTTGGCGGGTTGGGTGCCTACCGAGATAGACTCAGGGATCTTCAGAAGGGGGGACGCATGCAACGGGGGAGAGATTTGACCCCTTTCAGCCCCCACTGTCGATGTCCGTGCCGGCGAGGGAGATCGGTGGAGGCTGAATGGGACAGTCTGGCGGCTGCGGTGCCTAAGCAAAGAGGCTCACAAGGGTGGAAATAGGGTGCTGCAACAAAGAGCAGAGAGAGGGGAGCGATTCCAGCCCCCGCCGTCGCGGGTTGCAGGCCGTCCGCACACAAGCGCCCGCAGGGGGGGAGGGGGGTCTCGGTGGGTGTTTCAATGTTGACTGGGAGGTGCGTAAACCCCCTGCCAGATAGTCAGAAGGGCCGAAAAGGAAGTATTTCCCGCGACGGACGGTAGGCCAGCCTACCATCCGTTCCATATGGGTAGGAATCCCTGGACCAGATATTGTTCCAAGTCGAAATTAGTAGAAACTCAACGGTGGACTCTGACAAGTACGATGGGTACTAAATCAGACTCGTAATAGATGCAATAGGGGAGTCCAACAATCCCCATCGCACTTGCATTATTGCTGAGCGAGGAATCCCTTGATCACACTTACCCACTCATCAAAATTAGTAGAAACTCAACGATGGACTCTGGCGAGTACGATGGGTACTTAATCAAACTTGTATGAGATGGAATACAGGAGTCCAACAATCCCCATCCCATTCGCGTTAGTGCTGGGCCAGGAATCGCTTGATCAGGTATTCTTCCAAGTGGAAATTAGTAGAAACTCAATGATGGACTCTGACGAGTGCGGTGGGTACTGGATCAGACTCGTAATGCATGGAATAGGGGAGTCCAACAATCCCCATCACACTCGCTATAGTACTGAGCGAGGAATCACTTGATCATGTTTAATCAGTAGTTGAAATCCATAGAAAGTGAATGGAGGACCCTGGCGTGTGCGGTGGATACTGAAGGCAACTTGTAATGGGTGGAATAGGTGGGAACAACAATCCCCATCACAGTCGCTCCACTTCTGAGTGAGTATTCACTTGATCACATTTAATTACCAGTCGAAATCCATAGAAAGTGAATGGAGCACGCTGGTGTGTTCGGTGGATACTGAAAGGGACTTGTAATGGCTGGAATACGGGAGTGCAACAATCCCCATCACAGCCGCTTCACGTCTGAGGCAGGAATTGCTTGATCAGGTATAATTCCAAGTCTAAATCTGTGGAAACCCAATGATGGACTCTGGCAAGTTCGGTGGGTACTGCATCAGACTCGTAATGAATGGAGTAGGGGAGTCCAACAATCCCCATCGCACACGCTTCACGTCTGAGTCAGGAATTGCTTGATCACACTTAGCCACTAGTCGAAAACAGCAGAAACTCAACGATGGACTCTGGCAAGTTCGGTGGGTACTATATCAGACTTGTAATGAATGGAATAGGGGAGTCCAACAATTCCCATCGCAGTCGCTCCATTTCTGAGTGAGTAATCACTTCATCACGTTTAATTACCAGTCAAAATCCATAGAAAGTGAACAGAGGACTCCGTCTGATGTGTTTGGTGAATACGGCAATAGACTCATAATGGCTCCAATAGGGGGGTGCATGAATCTCTATCACAATCGTTGCATTTCTGTGGCAGGAATCCTTTGATCACATTTAATGACCAGGCAAAATCCTTTGAAAGTGAATGGGGTAGTCTGACGTGTTTGGTGAATACCCAAACACACTCGTAATGGCTGGAATGGGGGAGACCATCGATCCAGTCCAGATTATTGGAGTCTGTGAAGTGACCTGTATGTAGGCAACGTATCGAAGTCCTATCATATAAAGCCACATAAGCGAAGCACCTACCCTTACCCATGTTGTAAGTCACAAAATATATTTTATTCTGAGATTTGCTATGATACAATGATAGATAGTGGTCCCTACTGTATTATACATCATACAGTTATATACAAGGCATCAGGGCATTGTATACAAACCGCGGTCGCGGCACGCGCGCGACTCACAAGAGCTGGGAGGCGACGAAAAAAGAGAAAAGAAAAGATTGAAGAATAACTGCTCACCCAATCTCAAAGATACTTGGTGCATCGTATTCCTACAGTCATTGGGAGCCAGAATCACCAGCCCTTGAGGCGGGGCGAGGCATTTCGGCGTTGGCGCGATGCACGACGTCGGCGGCGGTGACAGTACATTCGCGGCGCCGACAGCAGTCGCGGAGGCAAACGATCGCCAAAGGAGGGTGGGTGTGGGTGATAGGAATATGGCCCCATCGAAACGCGCGAGCTGACGTGCTCTCTGGGGCCGGCGAGAGGGGGTTGGGTGGAAGGGGGAGGAGGAGGGTAGAAATAATTTGATAGAATATTAAGCACTCACCCGATCGCAAAGACGGATATATCATCGTATTCCTATGACCCGTGCGAGTCCGAAACACCGCGCGTCTACGCGGTGCGAGCCCTTTCGACGTCGGCGTGATGCACAAGGTCGGCGGCGGTGACGGACGGTTCGCGGCGCAGCCACCGTTCGCAGAAGGGAATGGTGGCCGGAGAGGGTGGGTGTGAGTGATAGGAATATGGCCCCGTCAAAACGCGCGAGCTCGCGCGCTTCCCGGGGCCAGCGAGACAGGGATGGGTGGCAAGGTGGGGGGAGGGCCAGAAACAAATCAATAGAATAATATGTACTCGCCTAACCGCAAAGACGCGTACAGCGTCGCATTCCAACCACTTTTGCAATCCTGAGACACCAGCCGTTGAGGCGGGGCGAGGCGTTTTGGCGTCGGCGTGAAGGACACCGGCGGGGAGGGCGACAGCGACGACGGAGCCAGCGGCAGCGGTCCAGACAGCGAGCTGCGGCCGGTCGCGCTACCCACAGGGTGAGCAAGATGGAGGACGCCGAACGTTGGGCGTTTCGGGGCCTTCCGGAGCCGGCGCGAGGGTGTCAAGGGGGAGGTGGGCAGGAAGGCCACAAAACATGAAATACAACATCGACGAGAAAGAGCCGCGTGGTGGCTCTCTCTCGTCAACGTCCCGGCACTATTAGTAAGCAGGAACAGGCGTCCGCTTGACAGCGGACGGCCTGGCGAAGGAGGGAGGGGCGGGGAGGGGTCGGGAGGGGCAAAACAGGAAATCGAAGATTGTAGCAGAACGGGTGCACAGATGTGTGCACCCTTTTCTGCCACAGCTTCAATTAGCAGTCCCCAACCATAAATGACCTCGAACAACAGAACGCGAGTGCGTTCTGTTGTTCGACGTCGGGCGACGCGCGCGCGGGTACGACGTCGTCAACGGCGTCAACGGGCATCCCACAGCTCGGAGCGCACCTCCTCGCGCTAGTGTAGCACGAGGAGGTGCGTTCTAACCCAAAGATGCCTACCTGGCGCCTTCGGGTCCGTCGCGAAACGGGGTTGTATGGAGGGGGGGCTGAGCCCCGGTAGGATTGAGAAGAACTCGACGACGAGACAACGCGCGGCTATAGCGCATGTCTCGTCGTCGTCCTGACTCCATAGGGAGTCAGGAAATCGCCTCCCATCCGAAGATGAGAGGCCGGGGAAGCCGGGAGGAAGGGGGAGGGGGGAGGGGGCAAAAAATGGAAAAAACCTGAATATAAAGATAACCGCGCCGCCGATTTGCGCGGCGCTGGTATCGTTCGCTTCGTGAAGTCGGCGAGAGTCGGAAACACGTCGAAACG